CCACCAAGCCCCTCATGAGTCACCTGCACCCTGTCCCTCCCCCGCCCCCACCCCCACCTCCCCCACCGGTGCCATGCGTACCCCCCATGCTGCACCGAGGCCTCATGCATCGCCGGAGCGAGTCCAACCACATGAGTGTCAAGCGGCTGCGGTGGGAGCAGGTGGAGAACTCTGAAGGGACCATCTGGGGGCAGGTATGGGATGGAGTCCGGCTGGTGGAAGCAAGGAGTTGTTGGTGGGGCAGGAGGGTCTTGTGTCCAGAAGCTACACTGAGATCTTAGCAGTAAAGCTGCTGATCAGAGTGACCAAACCCAGCCTCCAAGGCTGGAGCTTGAACGGTCAGGAAGGAACCGTTGCCCCAAGCAGCAGCAGACTCCAAGTGCACTGGCTGGGAGCATCTTTCCCTTCCTTGGAGCATTAGGTACTGGAAAGGAATTGGAGCAAGCGGATGCAGTGGCCTGTCCAAGGGGCTGTTCTTAGTCTCCTTGTCTGGATCAGAACCCAGGGCACCAGGCAAGGGTCAAGCATGGTGAATACTGAAAAGCACAGGACATGTTCCTGTTGCACAGTGCAGCGGGGAACGTACCTTTCCACCTGGGTGTATCAATGTGGACAGGAGCTGTCATCAGTCACCAGCTGTAGGAACCTCTAGAGAGGCTAAACTGCAAAAGCAGAGAGATGAAAAAAAGAGGGCACCAAGCCAGCAGGGGTGTGAAACAGAGAGAGGGTGAGAGATTGGGCCCCGCTGCAGTTCCCTTTAGACAGCTGCACAGAGCACACTGAGTTCAGCCAGCCCTTTGCGGAGCCGTGTGAGTGGAGCCCAGTCGCTGTGAAGCAATGTGGGAGAAGCTGAGCCCAGCAAGACTGAAATGGCAACCTCTGGCGTCCAAAGCGCAGGTCTGCTCAGCTTGCCCATGCTCTCTGGCACAAACAAACCACTGGGCAGTCTTGCATGCCAAGACCAGACTCCCTGGGTGACCCACTTCTGTGAATTAACTCACACATATTGCATTGTGTCATCTGGAAGGCAGGGTAGATTTGCACCTTATAGACTAACCAAGGAAGGAAGGACGGCAGGAAAGCAAAGCCCAAGCTGCCATGAGCTGAAGCTCACTTCCATGAAAGGATATACAAAAAGCAGAGTACAAGGAGAGAGAAATTAGGAAGGAGAGTGAATTAACATCAAGTTTGCTTGGCACCTTAACTCCCCCCACCCTTTAGGAGGCCTGGGAAGGAATTATTTCCTCCCAGGGACTTCTCAGCTGCAAAAGACCCTTGAGGTCTCTGGAATCCCCATTTTGGGCTTCAGAGAAATCACCTCCACCTGGGCAACACGCTAGAGAGTGTGATGAGTACTCTGTAGCATTTAGTGTGTGTGTGCGCGCACGACCTGCCTGGCTAACGCCACTGGGGGGAGCCTGGGGGCAGGAGAAGGGGGCTGTCCTGAAAGAATGAATCACTGGGTTCCTTCCTTCCCTCTGAAAAGAGACTAGGTCCTTGGGGATGCCATCAGCTCTGCTATCTGAAGTACCTCAGTTCTGGAGCACTGCAAGAGGCAAATGAATTACCAGAAATAACAGGCCCCAGGGGCTGCTGCAGTCACAAGGAAAACGCCAGACTAGCTCTGAGTTTTGGTGGGGGTGCACAGCACTGAGTTGCGGGGTCTGGAAGGGAGGGGGTGCAACCTGGCCTCTCTCCTGGAGCCCCACTAACCATTGTCCTCCTCCGTCTGCTGCAGCTCGGAGAAGACTCTGATTACGACAAGCTGAGCGATATGGTCAAGTACCTCGACCTGGAGCTGCACTTTGGCACTCAAAAGCCTACGAGTAAGTCAACGCGCTTCCCTGCGCATTCACATTGTTCCCGAAGTGAGACTGACACTGAGCAGAGACGGGGGCACTCTCATGGCAAAAGAGCAGGGGTCAGAAAGAATGCCTTCACCCAGGCAAGCTGTCAGCATAGCACTCGTCCACTGTATTTCACAATAACATCCCCCATGATCTTAACAACGGAGATTATTGAAGCAGAAATCCTCCTAAAATCTCCCTCAATTGTCCATCGATGCTGTTTGTTTTCTCTTCATTTCAGTCCCCTGGGGCAGTGAAGCTGAACAGAATGGTTTTGCGTTCTGCTGCGTACCTGTTCACTTTCACTTCCCCATTCTTATGCTGTTGTGGTTGGGCTCCCCACCAGCTACAACAGCGATGGGAGAGTCAATATGCAAATACTGCCTTTTGCTGCCATGAAGAAAGTCTTTTCCAAAGGACGGAAGCTTAGACCTGGCCCCCTAATGCGTGCACAGTGTTGTACCCAGCCACAGCACACAACTACGACAGCTGCGTGCACCGTAGGGTAACAGCACGTGCAAACGGCCAACCAAACCCCTCGGCCCTTCACCCAGGTGGTTCCTGGTGCATGCTCGCAGGAGAGGCAAATGTGAGCAAGGGGCAGAATCCTGAGGTTCCTTCCGTTCCTTTGAAAACCAGGCCTGGGAAAGCCATGAAAACATGCGAGTTCACAACAGGCTTGTGTGTTGTGAATTAACTGAGCTTCAGCCAAGCTTGTGAACAGGCTTGTGAGCACCCCCCCCGTCACGTCCCCAGATCTCAATGTTGGGTCTAGTGGTAGTTGACAGAGTCCTCTTAAATCATCAGTGTGGTTCTGGGGTGTGATAGTTACTGCTCTGGGTCTAGGATTCCCAAGTCACAGCTCGGCTTTCATCCCAGGAAGTCAGTCCGTTCCCTAGAGGTCACTGAGCACCACAGATCCTCCACAGGGCAAGGGTGGAGCTGGGGCAAGTGCCCTGAGGGTGTGAGGGCTAAGAGCGCTGCCTGGGCTAGAGGAAGCATTCCAGGTGCAGCAGAGAGTGGAGCCCAGGACTCCTGGTCTGCTTTTGTAGCAAAGCAGCTCTCAGGAAGGGACAGTCCATTTTGACTGTTTGTTTCTCTTTGGCTCTGTGCATACATGTGTTTATTTGTACGTGTGTGTGTGTGTGTGTGTGTCTGTACACAGGCACGCACAGATATGTGTGTAAAGGGGGGCAGGGCTTGTTTCTTCCGGGGCAGAAAATGTATGAGGATCCCTCTGCCTCCCCCAATGAGGCTGGACCAGCAGGGAACCAGCTCTTGGAAAGACAGTTTGACACCGAAGAGCAGGGGCTGGGGGGCAAATGGGGGTGCCAGCTTAGGAGGTTGGAGGGGGGTGGGTTTGGCAGGCCAGGGTGGGGCAGGGCTTTTCTTAGGAGCTGTCCCCCCAGGCAGGTCTTGGAGCAGTGCAGATTTCTGTGCATCTCACCTCTTGTTTTGCCTTTTACAGCTCAGCACGAGTCTTCCATTCAGGACATCTTTGAATCGCAGCATTCAAGGATTCCCAGAGCCATTGTCATGCATCAGTCCTGCTCACTCACTCTTTGGTGGTTTTCAGCTATTTCCTTTGTTTGGAGCCAGCAGAGCCTGCCCTTACCTCTGATTAAATCTTTCAGTTTCTCTTCCAGAGCCAGCGCTCATGCCAGAGTCCTTTAAAAAGAAAGACGTGGTTGAAATTTTGTCTCACAAAAAGGCCTACAACACATGTAAGTAGATCCCGGAGTGAGTGCAGCACCTGCACGGGCCCCAAGCTGGAAGAGCAGGGGCCTGGGAGGGTAGGACTGGAACGGTAAAAGGAGAGTGTGTCTCCTGGACTGGCGGCAGTGAGCAGGGCCACACATAGAGCCAGTGCCACGCAGTGCCTCTCATAGTCAGCAGATTCAGCCTGGGCTGTAAGGGAAAGGAAGGCTCAAGGGAGAATTCCAGAAATGGGACGTGGCTCATTGCCTTTGGGGGGACTTTAGCCCACTGGTGGGCTAAGAGCTCCAGGTAAATGGGGTGGCCCCTTGGAAAGTTGCCTCTTCCTGGCAGGCAGGGGATGAGGCGCAGAGCAGCAGTGATGGCAAGGTAGGACCTAAAGCATCTTTACAAGGCTCCAGAACGAGCCAGCATGTCTTTGCCCAGTGACCGGCTCAAGGCGCTGCCCCCACAGGCCCAGGCGTGAGGTGGAGGGCTGGCCTTGACGGCACACCTTCGCCCACCCAAGAACACAGCTGGATTCGGTTGCCTTCTGCCTGGAGGCACTGGGGGATGCTGAAGAGGAGGAGGTTTCATGCGTCCTCTTCTGTGCTGCCCTCCCTCTACCCATAGGATGTCACTGAGCCCCCAACCGTAGCTCAGCTGGGGTCCTGCCAGGAGACCAACCCCTGCCACGTACAAGGGTCTGCTCTCAGTCATCAGTGCTGATGTTCCCTGCGTTGCCTCCTTATTCCAGCTGGAACCATGTTCCAAAACCACTTGAGATAAAAGGGCCAGGAGATGGGACCAGGCAGCTCCTGCCTCAAGGTCATGGCTTGCAGTGAAGGCCACCTGGGAGGGCCTGGGATGCTGGACTTGTCTGGCCCAGTTCTAGTTTGGGCAGGCATCCCCTTCTCCAGCACAGTGTCTCTGCTGGCCCCACTCCAGGTTTCATAGATTCATAGATGTAGGGTCAGAAGGGATCTTGCAGATCTTCTAGCCTGACCCCCTGCCCTGGGCAGGCAAGAAAACTGGGCTCATATGACCCCAGCTAGGTAATCGTCAAGCCTCCTCTTACAGACCCCTAAGGTAGGAGCCAGCACTACTTCCCTTGGAAGTTTGACAGAGAGGGACAATCTCCCACATCAGAGTGGGGCACTGGGGGTGGCCCTGCCTTCCCAACTCCATGGAGACATGCAGCATAGCCCCATGTGGGGATCTCGGGCTGCTCCCCTGCCCCTCCACTGATGCCCCTCCTTCCCCCAGCCATCCTGATCGCCCACCTCAAGCTGTCGCACATTGAGCTGCGCCAGATCCTCATGACCATGGAGAGCGACCGCCTAGAGCCCTCACACATCAAGCAGCTGCTGCTGTACGCACCTGATGCTGAAGAGGTTCAGCAGTACCAGAGCTACCAGGAGAGCCCCAGCAAGCTGAGTGAGCCCGACCAGTTTGTGCTGCAGGTAAAGTGGCCCACAACACACAAGGGCCTGGGGGTCCCAGGAGCAGCGGTGTCCATGGGATGGCCCTGCCGAGACGTCTGCCAGCAGGAGGGGAGAGGTCACATGGCTGTTGCCCCCAAACGCTCAAGCCCATGTTATGACCGCGCGATGTGGTGTAGCTGTGAGGTTCTTTGCATTGTGTTGTCCAGTCTCCGATGGATATCGATTTCAGTCAGTCTCCGTCCACGGCAGTGAGAATGTAAGAACTGCCGTTTACTGGGTCAGACCATAGGTTCATCATGCCACATCTCCTGTGTCTCACAGCGGCAGAGAGTGGAGGCTGAAGGGGAGAGTGAACTGGGTATGACCAGGGGTTTTTTCCACTGTTCCTTTCTCCCTTGCAGCCTCCAGCATTTGAGGTCTTGGAAGGTCTGATGCAGAGGCCATGCCCCTCATGCCCATGCTCAGTTGTGACTGATGCCCCTTTCTTCCAAGAATATGTCCAGTCCCTTGTGAATCTGGCTGAACTCTCAGCTCCCACCACATCTGGTGGCCACGAGTTCCAGCCTTTAATGCCACGCTGGGTGAAAAAGTACTTATTTGTCTTAGTTTTACACTTACTGCCTAGTAGTTTCATGTTGTGGCCCCCCGTACTTGTATTGAGAGACAGTGGGCACATCTACATGTTCAGTAGATTTCATAGACATTAGGGCTGGAAGGGACCTCATAAGATCATCGAGTCCAGCCCCCTGCCCAAAGGGCAGGAAGTCAGCTAGGGTCAAAGGATCCCAGCAAGATAAGCATCCAAATGTTTCTTAAAAGTGTCCAGAGTAGGTGCTTCTATCACCTTTTGGGGGAGTCGTTTCCAGGCTTTGGGGGCTCAGACAGTAAAGAAAGTTTTTCCTTACATAAGGAAATATGTAATGTGTCATAATTATGGTGCATTACAGGTACTAAATTTAATGCGCTGTAATTGGCACTACTGTGCAGTAGCACTGGTACATGCACTTTTGTGATGCTAATGCGCAGTAGACTAATTCTACTGTGCATTAGCACTGTTTTTGCCTGCTGTGCTAATGTGCAGTAGAGTTACTCTACTGTGCTCCTAGCGTCTTGTGTAGACGTGTCCAGTAAGTAGTAAATCCCTATTTACATTCTCTTATCATGTCCCTCACCTCAAGCGTCTCTTTTCTTAACAGAATAGGCCTGGCCTCTTTAGTCTCTTGTCATACAGAAGCCCTCCCATACCACTAATCATCCTTGTTGCCCTTCTCTGAACCATCTCTAGTTCTTCTCTATTGTGGTTGAGGTGTAGGGACCAGAACTGGGCATCTTCAAGGTGTGGATGCACCATGGATTTATACAGAGGCATGACAATACTTTCTATTTTGTTCACAGTTCCCTTCTTAATCATCCCTCACATTTTGCTTGCCTTTTTGATGGCTGATGAGCACTGAACCAATGTCCACAGCTGAGAGTGAGGGGCCGCTGAACAGCAAGTGCAGTGCTTCCCAGTCCCTGCACTGTGCTACCTGCATGCGGCTGCCAGGAGGGGGAGTGTTTCTGGGAACGCTGCAGGGGGTCGAGGCCAGCCTTTGGGGCCCACAGTCACATCTTGCTCCCTTTGCTCTCAGATGCTGTCAGTGCCAGAGTACAAAACCCGGCTCTGCAGCCTTCACTTCAAGACCACGCTGCAGGAGAAGACGGAGGAGATCAAAGCCAGCTATGACTGCATCTGCAAGGCCTCCCTGGAGCTGAAAAGCAGCAAGAAACTGGCAAAAATCCTAGAGGTCAGAATACGCCTTATTTCCACTCACAGCTGCTGGGGGGGCATGCCATCTCCACCAGAACAGCCAAGCGTCTGCCTCACAGTCCCCGGCTCCTTCTCTTCTCACAGGGGTCTGTGCTGGCATTGCTCTGAGGCCTGCCATGACAGCAGTCAGACACATAGATTCATAGACTGTAGAGTCGGAAGGGATCGTGTCTGACCCCCTGTCCCTGGCAGGAAAGAGGACCAACGTCAGATGACCCCAGCAAGGTGTCTATCAAGCCTCCTCTTGAAGACCTCCAAGTTAGGTGATGGCACCACCTCTCTTGGAAGCTCATTCTGGATTCTGGTCACCCTTACTGTAAACAGTGTCTTCTTAATATCTAACCTGAATCTACTTTCCACTAGTTTGCACCCGTTATTCCTAGTTACTCCTAGGGGTGCTGTGGCAAATAGCGCATCTCCAATTCCCTGTTGTCCTCCCTTGATAAACTTATAGGCGGCTACAAGGTCTCCCCTCAGACATCTCTTGTGGAGGCTGAAGAGCTCCAGATTCCTCAACCTCACCTCGAAGGGTCTTTCACAGAGGCCACTAATCATGCGAGTGGCCCTCCTCTGAACACTCTCCAGATTCTCCGCATCCCTCTTGAAGTGCGGCGCCCAAAACTGGGCACAGTACTCCAACTGTGGCCTGACCAATGCCGCATAGAGGGGGAGCATCACCTCCCTTGATCTGTTGGTCATGCATCTGCTAATACACAACAAGGTGCGACTGGCTTTGTTGATGGTTTCGTTACACTGCTGGCTTATGTTCATCTTGGAGTCAGCTATGACTCCAAGATCCCTCTGAGCCGCTGAGCTGCTGAGGAGGTCTTCCTCCAATCTGTAGGTGTGCTGGGGATTCCTCTTCCCCAGGCGGAGTACCTTGCATTTCTCTTTGTTGAATTGCATCCTGTTTCGTTATGCTGATCGGTACTGCTAACCTGTACAGTACTGGGAACGCTGAGTCCAGGGATCCTCTGCTCTGGCAGGCACCTGGGATATGGGCAGGGAAGTCCATCAGTGGAGAAGTCATGTTGAATCCACTGATTTGATGCAGAAATCCTGCTTCCATTCAACCTCCCTGTTCCTCCCTTTTCAGTTACTCAGAACTTTCTCTTCTAGTCACTTGTTGTTTGTAGGTCAGTACTGCTCACCTGTGCAGTGTAACTGTAAACTTGGACAGCCCTGAGCTTTGTGAGGTCCAGTCTGCTGGAGGGGATTCTGCTCCGATTGCCTGTGGGGGTGTCTGCTGCAGGCTTCTTCCTTTTCCTCCTAGGAAGATGAAGCTGCCTTGTGACTAGCAGAGCTTGCTTGGGACTGGGGCACCCCGAGTGAAGCCGTAGGGGGCTGTAGTGCCCACCTAGCGCATGTTCAGGGCTGGCCCTGGCAGCAGGAACTGGCAGATGTGGGGTGCCTTCTTCTAGGCTTTGCTGACCTCCTGCCATTCTTCCTTGTCACCTGTAACTCCAGGAGATGAAAGGCTGTATCTCCCTGTGGCTGGCTGGGCCCTCAGTGTTTGCAGCGTTTTGTAGCAGCATCTGGGGCTCCAACTCAGCCCTTGCTGGGATGCGCTTAGAGCAGAAATACAGGCAGAGTGACACATCCTCAAGCTCAGTCCTTGCTACTCCCAGGCTAGTCACCTTGTGGAGACAGAGTCCTCCTGCTCTTGCTGCTAGTGTGTCCCTGGCCTGGCAGACCAGCTCTTATCTGCTTGAGGACCTGCCCCTTGTTAGCACCCAGTCCTGGCTTCAGAAGCAGCAGGTCACAGCAGAGACCTTTCCACATGAATGAGGGGCCGTCTTAATGATGCCTGCTTCCAGCCTAGATCACACCTCGTTAACACTTCAAAGGCAAGAGATGGGTACAGATTAACCTGGGGCTCTGAGAGATTAACCTGCTCCAAGACTGGAGTCCAGCTGCCAAAGCAAAGGGAGCCCCTCTTTTCCATGCAGCAGTAAGGGAACTCCCCCACACTGTGCCCACATGCAGCTGAGCATTATACTGAGCTCAGCCTGGCGTCCCAGGCAGTGCTGCCATCTGGACAGTTGGGGCCGCAGACCAGGGGACAAGGGCCTGCCAGGAAAGAGGGTTCAGTTTCACTGGAACTCGAAATTTAAGGCCAGATACCCTGGGCTACCCGCAGCCTGCAGCTCCCACTGTGCTCTTTGATGGCCAGGCCCCTCCCAGAGGTCACTCAGCAGTAAAGTAACCCAATGCGGAAACATGCAACCCTCTCACCTTTCCTGAGGATGCCTTGCCCTGTTCCGTGCACTCAGCGAGAGGCTCCGTTCCTTGGCCCCTCCTCCCAGGCAGCAAACCAGGAACACTGAGTCCAGGGATCCTCAGCTCTGTCAGGCACCTGGGATATGGGCAGGGAAATCCATCAGCAGAGAAGAAATGTTGCATCCATTGATTTGATGCAGAAATCCTGCTTCCGCTCAACCTCCCCCCTCCTTCCTTGTCAGTTACTCAGAACTTTCTCTTCTAGTCACTGTTGTTTGTAGGCTGCAAAGGCCACTCCACAAGCATGATAAACATCCTGGTTGCAAGCCTCTGCTGACTGTGTTACCATTGCTAGGTTGTTACCAGTACCTGGGCTAGTTCGCTTACAGCTAGCGTTAGGACATGTATGCTGCATTGCCGTCTGAGCAGCGACTGCAGGGTAGACACGCTCAGGCTGACATCTTGCTCCCTGTTTGAGCCCACAAGTGACTGAGTCTGGATATTAGCTCAGCTGAGTTTCTTAAGGGGGAAAAATGACCCAGACTGCACAGTCGCATTACTCAGACAGCTGGGCAAGGCAAGCCTGGTGCGATCTGCAGCCGTCCTTTGAAAAGGTAAACAGTTAAAAGTTGGAAGAGAATTAGTGTCCATAGCTGATGGGGGTGAAGACGGTGCTCCTTGGGAGACAACAAGCTCTGACCACCTCCCAGCTCCCTGCCTACATTGCCCTGGGGCTGCGCTGCTGCAGACTGCGTTCATACCCCTGAGCTCGCAGGATGCGCTGTGCCTGACTCCTGCACTGACATGCCAGCCTGAAGAGGGGCTCCATATGCAACTGCCTAAATCTTGCCCTTGTTCCTTTAGTGCCCTGTAATGAAACACTGAGGTTTTTCCTCATGCTGCTCCAAGGCTGTGTGTCTGGGCCTGTGCCCCACTGCTCTGGTTCAGAAAAGAGCCAGTTCCTCAGCATCTCTCTGATGGATGCTGGGTATCCCAGATCCAGTGGCAGGCTTGGATCAGCCTCCCCAGCTGTTCCAGCTGCACCACCTCCCATCCAGGGCCTGGCACGGAGGGGAGGGAGAGATGAGGTGGGAGGTAGCAGGCCAGGGCTTGGTGATGGAGAGTTCATGGTGTTTTTCTTTGCAGTTTGTGCTGGCCATGGGAAACTACTTGAACAACGGGCAGCCCAAGACCAGCAAGACGACGGGCTTCAAAATCAACTTCCTCACTGAGGTGAATGGGTGGGAATGCTGCCCGGGGTGGGGGTGTTCTTGACACCTGGGGCACAAGCTCCAAACATGCTGTACCATGTGCATTCTCTAGCAGTCATGGACCACCTTAGCACTCCATACAGGGAGCATGGCAGGGGCAGGGTGCTGGGCCCTGGACAGCAAAGCTGGCCCCGGGGCATGGTGCACTGGCCTGTGAGGGGCTGAGATGCCTTTGGCTCCTGTGTTGGGAGGTGCCTGTGGGGCTGGGGCAGGGCCCCCGCTGGGATGGGAGAGGATGAGCACCTTTGTGCCCTGTGGTGTGCTGGTGTCAGGAGAGGGCACTGCTCTCCAGTGTCTGGCATTCCCATGCTGGATAACCATTAAACTCCCACTGGAATGTTAATCCCTGAAGTGCTGCAGCTGGTGGAATGGGAAGGGTAGAGTGAACCCTGTGGGGCAGGGGGTCCCCATGCTGGCCCCGTGGTAACCACGTGTGCCAGCTGGTCGGCTGGCAGGCTGTGCCCTCCAGCATAGAAGCATCTCTTCCCCCACTCTGCTTTGCTTTGTTCCAGCTGAACACAACCAAGACCGTGGATGGGAAATCCACGTTCCTGCACATTCTTGCCAAATCACTAAGCCAACACTTCCCAGAACTTCTGGGCTTTGCCAAGGACCTTCCCACAGTGCCGCTCGCTGCCAAAGGTAAATGGGCAAGATCTACAGGTAGCATCTGGCCTGCCATGGGGCCCAGGAGGGGCTCTGCCTCTTTGCCCCCTTGGATGGCCCTGGGGAAGCACCTCAGGACTTAGAATCCTAGACTTGGCACAACCCGCCACAGGGGCAGCTCAGGACCTGGGAGTTAGTCATGATCTGGAGCCATAAACACTGGGACACAGAAGCAGAAGCTCCCTCCTGCCTCACTGGGCCCCCACAGTTGCTGCTGCAGGCGTTTGCAGGTGCCTGGAGCTGGGAGGCTGGTTTGGAGCTCCTCTGAGCTGAACCTCTCCTGTGACTTGGTTAGCCTTTGGAAAAGGTTGATCCCCAGGCTGTGCCAAGGCCCTACTGGTACCTGGTAGGCAGTAGAGCCAGAAGTACCAAAATACCACATGGGAGGCTCTTTTCATGGCATTTTTGGCCCTGTGGAAGGCAGGAAGCACCGGCTATCTCGAGAGTCTGCCCCTGCCACATTCCAGAGGCCCAGGGCTCCTGTGTCCCTCAGTGAAGCATTCCCCCTCTAGGGCACGTATTATTCATCCCAGACCCAGCCCTGACTTCAGCAGCTATTGCTGGAACCCACGCAGTGCCTGAAGGAGCAGCGGCTGCTCAATCATACCCTGAGTCTCCTCTGGCTTTCTGTTTCCAGCCAAACCCTGCTGCCTCACTGGAAACATCTGCAAGCTCCCATTTGGTGGGCTTACCAGACATTGGATCCTCTCACCACTGCTGCACAGCTGGGCAGCAACACTCAAAACTGCCCAGAGACCATAGCAGAAGCAGGCTGGGAGCCAGGCAGCCATACCATCTGCAGACCCTTCCATTTGTGGTGCCAGCGTGGGCTGTGCTCATTATGGAGCCTGGCATGATTAATCACTATGATACACTACAATAATGCGTAGCAGCAAAGAGTACTCTGGTATGCCCTGTGGACAGGGTGCAATGGGGGAGAGCCACAGGCTTTGCTGGGGCATGTTCAGAAAGTCCCATGGTGCTCAGGCTTCTGCTGCTGGGACACTACACGCACTTGTTACGCATGTCAAATACAATACACAGGGCTGGATTCCCTTTCATGCTGCCATAAAGTGTTTAGGAGGGATGCTCACTGAACCACACTGGGGTTAAGGTGATGTAAAGAGGCAGGAGTCAGGCCCCTGGATCTGAATTCCCCCAGTGGCTGCTTTTGCTTTCCATGCTGGGGTTAAGCTCGCTACACCCCCACCAACCGCACCTTGCCCATAGATTGGTAACTGCTCCTCAGCCCTTGCACTTCTGTCACCTGCTCCATCTGCCTGATTGGGCAGTTCCTCCGAACCCATTGGGGTCAGGAAGAAAGTCATGTTCTCTCCTCCCAGAGGCCGGAGTTCACCCACAATGCAATGCAGCTCAATTACCCCAATCCTACGGGAGCAGAGTTCACTGGGACCTGGACAGGTGACACCTCTGGATCAAGAGGGGGGCTGTGAAGCTCTTTGTAGAAGTGTGCAGCCTTGGGTAGAAGCTTCTGCCCTGCTTGGAGCTGCCCGAGTCACGTCTGCATCTCAGTGATGCTGTCTTAAACCCTCCCCTTGTTTAGTGAATCAGAGGATGCTGACAGCAGACCTCAATGACCTCCACACCACCGTCAGTGAGATAGAGACAGCCTGTCGCAACATGCCGGCTACTGCGGAGGACCGGTTTGCTGTTGTGATGAGTGTATCCTTCCATAAGAGGGGTAAATCACGAGCATCCCTCAGTGCTTTCCAGTTGAGGCATTCAGTTGCCTTTGTTCTCCTGTCGGGTGAGTAGCCAGTGTCGCCAGAAGGCACCACCCTGTGCTTAGTGAAGGGCACACCTGGGACTTTAACACCCTGTTCAAGTGGGCAGGCCCCTCAATGCAGCCACGCTGCAATCCTTGCAGAGCTGGAGAAAGCTGCCCCCATTCTGTGGCCAGCAGGCTTTCCCTCTGGTCTCCCCTCCTGCTCAAGGTGGTGCAGGAACAGAAGTGTACACGTGTGAAACCACCTCTCCTTGGGCATGGAGTTCTGTTAAACTTGTCTCTCATGTGCAGCCACAGCAGATCCTCCCTTACCCTATGTGTGCCATGGGGAGCATGATTCATTCTGGGTTGGTTTCCCTTAAGCTGCTCCTCTCAGTCCTTCCTGGAGAGTGCCCATCCTGCCATCCAGGGCCTGGAGGAGCTGCAGCAGAAGTCCATGGAAGAGTTCAGCAAAGTGCTGTCCTTTTTTGGGGAAGACTGCAAAGCGACGACGTCTGAAGCTTTCTTTGGCATCTTTGCCGAGTTCATGAGCAAGTTTGAGGTGAGCTGCACTTTGGTGGGGGCTGTTGGCAGGGGTGCTGCCTCCTTGTGGAAACCAGAGGTGTCGTGGGGTCAGTGCAGGTTTCACTGGATGCTTGTGCCCAAAGGCAAGTTAAATCCACAGCTTTACCCAAAACTGAATTCAGAAGCTGACCAACTTGGGAGGCTGCCATGGGGCCACATCACTTCACCTTGGCAGCCTGTGGTTTGGATCCTGACAGGGGAGAAGATAGTAGCTGCTCCTTGCTGGCTCTTTGGAAGGCAAAGCCTGCCCTAGGTTTGAGCACACTGGGTCCCACAGTCGAAGCTGACTGGTAGCCTTGCAAGTGGGCCCAGTGCTGGGGCTGAGGACTGCCTGGGTATGCTCACGTGGGGACCGGTGGTCCTTTAAGGATAGATGCAGAGCCCTGGGCAGAGCTGGCTGTTGCTGATGTCCCATCTCCTTTGTTCTCCTTCTCTCCCTGCAGCGGGCGCTGGGGGACGTGCAGGTGGGCGAGAGCCAACGCAGTCCCAGGATGACCTCCCCCCTTGCCTGGTGATGGGCTGGTGGTGACCTGAGGGGCAACGCTTCATTGCCAACCAAGTGCAATCAGTTCTCATGGTGTGGGCTGTAAATAGGGGGTGGGCGCCAAGACCAGAACGGTGGCCCCAGGGGGAGGGGCTGATCTGTGCTAACAGGGACAGTGAAGCAGCACTGCAGGTGAATCGAGGGCTGGGCACTGGGGCGCACCCAGGGCTGCCACTGCAGCAGAAGCACTGTGCTAGCCCTCCCTCCACGGTCTCCTTCCTGAGCAGCCACATCCCCAGTGTGTTCCACCATCAGGTGTTCAGGCGCACCAGGCTACCAGAACCCCTCTCTGGCTTTAATGCTTCGCCTGTCCTGGCGGTCACAAACGCTCCTTGCCCGGGACTTCCACTGCAGGTACACAGAGGCCCTTCCTCTGCTCCCTGTGCAGCCAGGACCAGGCTCTTTGGCACTGCACCCCACTCCTGGACTGCTGGGCTGAATGAGAGCAGAGTCAGGCTTGCCCTGCCCTGGGCAGGCTCAGACCCTGGTGCAATGGGCTTCCCCAGGAACTGCCAGTGGGTCCTGACAAGTCAGGCCGACCCTGCCTCTGCACTGCCAGCCCCTGCACCGCCACGCACCCAGTCCTGCGTCAGGCTGAGCCAGCATGTCAGGGTTCAACCCTTTGGCCTAGGGAGGATGGAGGGAAATCAGCTTCCAGAGCTGTGCACAGCAGAGCTGTTGAGCTCCTGAACACAGATCCCATCTGATTCCATCTCCCTGCCCTCTTCCGAAATGCACGTGCTCTTTGCTTAGGCCTGTGTCTGTGACTGGTGGGTCCTGATGGCTCACTCAGAAGGTAATATCTTCCGCTTCAGTTCCACACAGACTTGCCTGGGAGAGCATTTTGATGCCTCCAGGGAAAGTGCAAACCCCTGGGCCATCTGCAAAGCACTGGAATGCCTTTCAGCAGCAGAAGACCTGCCTTGTAACATCTGAGACCAGCCAGGGAGTCTAGCAGAAAATGCAATGGGTGCTCTACCCTTTGAGCTGCAGTCCCCCAGGGAACATCTGTGACCGAGCCCACCCGGCCTGTGCACTCCAGACCCACACACTCTACTGTCCCCACGGCTTCTGATTATTCCATATGTAAATGTAATTACATCTGGGATGTTGCCCTGGGACTAGAGCTCTATGCCACTCCCATGGTCAGCGCGTGTGCCTCTCGGCAGCACAGCTCGCTGCAGTCCTGGCAGCAGTGACCTGCCGGTGCGTTAACATTGCGAGGCATTACTCTGTGCAAAACACATTTGTTGCCTTTCCAACATGACGTGCTCTGACATCCCACTCCATGAAACGCTCCAGCAGCAGCCCCAGCTTAGGTAACACCCCTCATCCAAACACGTCTCCTCACTGAACGCCAGAGCAAAAGTCCCATCACAGTGTCCACCAATGGCATGGACTCACCAACCGGTGCATTATTTACAGGAGACCTTATCAACATCCAGCCCTTCGTTTTCAGTATTTTTTGTTAAGCCCTGCTGTAGACAGTGATGTATACTTCCACCAGTGTTCTCCGTTTAAGTGCCAGGTAGCTTTCAGCATCGTATTACCGGATGCTCAGGCCTGTCTGTCTTTTTCCTTGATTGACGACGATAGGGCAATGTGTATGTATCTCCTCTGTTCTTCGTTTCAGATGCTGCAGACTGTGTCCAGCTGATCTCTCTCTCCTCTTTTTTTTTTTTTTTTAAGGACACATTAAATATTTAAACCACTTGAGGCTCTTTTGAAACGGTCACTAATGAAAATGCTGTACATGGATGTTGCTCCCTGTTGTAACTTTACTGAAGAGCTAGGACTCAGATCCCTTTGTTCCCAGATGGTATTTTTACGTGAATATTTTCAAAGACTCAGAACTTAGGCGGTACGGTTACATGATTTGATATAAGGAGTCTGTGTATATCCACAGGTCAGCCTCTGCACAAACCCTCTCTACCCCACAAAATAAAGCTGTTGCCTTCTGTCTCCCACCTACAGTGAAGTCCATCTGATATAAACCCTCCTTTATAACACACCCTTGTTTTTCACAACAGCCTTACAGAGAAGGTGGGGTGAGTTTCTGTGGTTGGCCATGCTGCGGCAGCACATCTTAAGACCAAGCCTTTCACACAGCTCTTTTTATTCCCCTGAGAGATAAGTGCCCAGGTAGGCAGAGGTTTAACTTGTTTTACCATCTCAATGGCAACAGCGAAACAGAAGTGCTAATTGCGTAAGTCGGAGGGAGGCTCCCTGTGAATCAGGTCTCAGGGAAGCACACGGAGTTTAAAATAGTGCTGGCCGTGCTGCAGTCCTCAGAAGCAAATATTTAGTGTGGGCAGGAGCCAGTAGCTTGCATTCCTCTCCAAAGTGATTTTTGGCAGAGTTTGCATTCCCCTGGGGGCTTTCTCTTCCACAGCACTAGCTGCATTTCTGCTAGCAGGGAAGGGTGACTGATCTCTCATCATGCCAGCCCCGGGGTCTTTTTGCTCTTGCTAGTTTTGCCTGTTTGCAAAGGTTTGTGCTAAGCCTGGCTCAGTGAGGCCTTAGCACAGGCCTAACAGTTTCACGAAGCATCAGGGACAAAACCCACTCAGCGGGATGGTGCTCTGTGCCGCAGGCAGTTCAGATAGATGTATCTTCCTCCCCAAAGCTCTGAGCCATTCACAGCTGGCTCAGACAATGTGACAGCCCAGCCCGTAGAGCAGTAGCCTGAATTAACAAGCATAGGTCCAGCGAAGGCAACCTACAGCATGCCATTGAGCATGCCAACCTGGGGCCAGCTCTGCAGTGATTTTGTTCCCCAGTTAAATTGGTTATGAGGACTCAGCACAATATACCTCACCTTTCCTTGAAATCATTCGCTGCTTCATGGATACGCCCCACACTCCAGATAGACAAAAGCAGCATAATTCGAGCACTGCCCCTTGAGCCTTGGGCCATTAATGGTTAACAGCTTGTGCCCAGCCCTGCCACTCACTCACTCATTCATCAGTGCGCATGGCCTTGGGAAGGAAACACTGAATGCAGGAGGCAGCCTCGTGACCACCCTGGGCACCATGAAGCGGCCAGGGCTCCTTCCTGGCCTGGCACAGCCTTGAAGACATCGTCTCCCTCCCACGCAAGCAACAAAATCATCCCCAAGCAATTGCTGGGCACACTGTAAATGAAGCAAATCTGGCTGGCACTTTGCTTTGTGCTGGTTCTCACGAGAAGCAAGGAAATGCTGGAAAGACAGTGAAAAGCCTAATGGAGTCCCAGCGGAGCTCGGCCTGAACCAGCCCCAACAGGCTGCTGGGCTGAGGCAGAACAGCAGCAGCTCGGCCCCAGCCAGGAACCAGCCCCTCAGCTTGGCTCAATGTATCTCAAAGTGAGACCAAGCGCCTCGCTCTGTTCCTGGTGGCTCATGTGTGGTGATGCTGTGTGGGTGGGTGCCATGAGGGAACCTGCGTAGATAGATGGAAATCCCAGCCAGAACTGCTGTCCCAGGTGTTTCTGGGCTGCAGGGGCTGATGGCCATGCACAAGCACCAGGGGCTGGCAGGTGTCTGGATGGCAACCCTGAGCCTTCCCAGGGCCTGTCTGTCGCTGGTCACAGCCGCGGTTCTAGACAATCACTGGTACTGAGCAGGGTAGAGACTGCATTCCAGTGTTGCCTGCCCCAGGCAGCCCAAAGCTATGAGTTGGCCCCCAAAAGTCCTGAGATGGGTCATGAAATCCTGGGTTCATCTTACTCCCTTGACCCCCAGGGCTCTGAGCCTTGGAGTGTGCTCAGCTCGTCTCCGCTTGGACCTCCAGGCCTAGAAAATGAAGCCAACAGACACAGAGTTTGCAACCTGGCTCCTGGTTCTAGTAGCCAGGGCGCTGGGAGGGGCACCAGTTGTTCTGAAAACTTTGGCAAAAACACAATGCTCCTGCGATCTGTGGGGGCTCACATTGACAACAGACAGGACAAGACACTTCTATTCAGCTGCAGCTGATGACGGGTCCCTGGGGAAGTTCACTGCAAGGCCAAGCCATGAGATGGCTGGCATCTCAGTGGCTCCATTCCCTGCTGGTGGGGCAGGTCACCCCCGGCCAAAGCAGAAGCAAGGCCAGGTCAGCTGAAAGGCTGGTAAAAATACCCAGAGAGAAGGAAACAGACTGAAATCCTAGCGAAAAACCCCAGCACCTGAAAGCAGGTCGTGCCTGGGCTAGCTACATGACTGGAGGCATGCCAGTGTCTTAAACACCCTGAAAGCATGGGCTGGGGCTGGAGATCAGCTCACCTGACACGAGGCTGAGCATGGCAGAGGCAAACATTCCTGGGCAGTGCCCAGCCAGATGTGATTGGCATGTGACCGGTGCTGCTGGTCTCAGAGAAATATGCTGTGCCCCCCGCTGTGGTGCCTCCTCCCCTAGGAGGGGTCTGCTCCCTCTATTGTCCATTTCGTACCTGACATGGGTGCCTCACTTCACGTGTTTCTCATATGCTCGGGCTGGGAGTGCAGGTCTGGATTCAGGCTGGGCCCTGGGTGTGAAACAAATACCTGGGGTTGGGATAAGAGCCCCTGGGGCTGGGACAAGGGGAGATGGGGCTTGGCTCTGCTCTGTACAGCTCCAGGGCCGGGGGGCGAATTGCAATCTCAGCTCTCCAAGAGGGTGGGGAGGTGGCAGGTGGGGTAGCTGGGCACTTCCTTCTCTGCCACTTGTTTCCCCTTTAGCTAGAATGATTGCTTAAGTGAATGGCACACTTTGGAGTTTGACCCGTGGGCCTTGACAGCAAGAACACATTTCTCACCAGAGGAGCCAGGGACACAGAGAGCATCTAGGGGGTGGGGGAGGCCAATTAGTTTAACTTTGCCCATAAACTTTCCTTCTCGTCCCTTGTGACACCGTTCACAGCTTCGTTGGCAAAGCCCAATCCCCTGGCAATATTTAAGCTGTGCTGTCAGCTGGCTGGAGGCTGCTGGTGCCGTGCGCAGGGGAGCAGAATGAGACCTGGCTGGACACAGTAAGTGCCCTCAGCTTCTACCTTGCGCTTGGGAACTCTGGGGAGCCTGGCAGGTTCGGTTCTGCTCTAGGCTTCGCTAGCCCTGTGCAGCCCAGGGAAGGCTTAAAAAATCCTGCATGAGAAGCCGTGGGAACAATACAATCCCCGTGGTGTTGGGGACCACATGGGCAGCCACCTCGGCTGGGACCATTGATGCAGGGCTGGCTCATTCTGATGCCATGGATGTCGTCCCCTCCAAGCCCCTGCCTAGCGGAGCGCTGCCGCTCATGCCAAGGGAGCCAGGGAGACCAGGCTGTGACCTGAATTCACAACACAGGCAAACTTTCCACTGGCCCCAGGCACAGCAAGCACTGACGACCAGCAGCAGCAGAGCTTCCTACGCCCCTTGTGCTCTGCCAGGGGATCCTGCCAACAGACCAGTACCTGTTTAGCCACAGTCTCCTCTGGGAAGGTAACTCCCTCCTGTTTCGCTGTGCACTGTACAAGTGTTGCACCCTAGACCCGCACACGCTTCAGGAGAGGCAGGAAACAACCCCAGCGCAGAGGGTCCAGCCCTCCACATGGCTGAGTGCCTGCAGCAGGCACTATAGGGCTGTGTGAGGCTTCGGACAAAGCTTCGGATCTGGAGAAGCTTCGGATGCTTCGGGGTCTGAAGCGGCATGCCCAGGTCAAGGCGCTGGCCTCGTTCGGCTTCCCGAAGTCCTTTGGAGCTGCCTCGGAGATCCAGCCATAGGGTATAATGGGGAAACAATAAAATATCTATAACTTTGTTGTTTTTTGTCAGATTTGGATGAAGTTTTCAGGGGTGGTAGGCACTGCAGAGAGGATGAAGCCTGCCAAGTTTCAAGAAGATTGGTGCAGAGGTTTGGGGGGAACGGCAGCCCAAATTCTTGAAAGCAAAACTCATGTCATGTCTACGTGTTACACCCCAGGGGGGTCAAAACTGCAGGGGTGGCAGCTCTTACTGAGGCCCGATGCCTGCCAAGTTTCAAGCAGATTGGTGCAGGGGTTTGTGGGGAACTGCCCCTCAAGCTATGGACAAGCAAAACTGGCGCCACGGGTGCTGTGGGACTGACTGTCACTGTCACGGGGTGGGGAGGGGAGACACTGCTGCAGGCCTGGCTGCTGAGCTGCTGTGTTCCCAGTTACCAATCAATCAATCAATCATGATTCACTCAGGGACCAGGGACCAGCTCAATACACAGGACCCAGCTACTACACAATGACCTAGAGCATCAATTACCACCTACAACACCAGGCTAAGGAGAGGAAAGAATCAATACAGACAATCAACTGCCCAAGACAGACACAGTCTTGGCACGAGTTTTGCCCATCAGCAGCTAGGGGTGCAGGGCCCCAGGACCCCCCTGCACCGATCTCCTCCACACCTGGCAGTGTCACAGCAGAGGCCACCATCCCTGCAGCTGTCACCCCGCTGTGCCTTAGCACACGCAGTGTCACTCATGTCACAAGTTTTGCTTCTCTGCAGCTTGAGGGGCAGTTCCCCCCAAACCCCTGCACTGATTTCTTTGAAACGTGGCAGGCTTTGTGGCCTCAGTGAGAGCCACCACCCCTGCAGTTTTCACCCCGCTGTGGTGTGACACAACTGTGACATGAGTTTGGCTTTCAAGAATTTGGAGTACAGTTCCCCCCAAACTCCTGCACCGATATTCTTGAAACTTGGCAGGTTTCATTCTCTCAGCAGAGGCTACCATCCCTGCAAGTTTCATCCAAATTGGACAAGAAACAACAAAAGTTATAGATATTTTTTCACTGATTCCCCATTATACCCTATGGCCGGATCTCTGAGGTGGCTCCAAAGCTTCGGCCGGATCGAGGTGGAAACCCGGTCGGAGCTCTGGATCGGATTGCCGACATCCAAAGTGGCCGGATCTGAAGCCGGATCAGAGCGCTGCCAACTCGCACAGGCCTAAGGCACTACCTGTCAGCAGAGCTTTGGGGACCAAGCTTTGCTTGGGCGTGGGGCTATGGCGAGGGGTGAAGTAGCTGCAGAAATGCCAGGCGGCAGCGGCACCAAGTATGGTGCATTCAGCTGTGCCGCTCTGAGGACAGGCACTGGATCATAGCTTCCAAGGGGACTCGTTCCACCTCTTCCAGGTGTACAGCCACAGCTCCCCATGATGCAGTGTGTCAGAGGGCTGGGCCCCAGACGGGCATTCGAGATGCAGGGGCTGGCCAGCCAGCCGCCCTGTGCACTGCAAGGTGGGGAAGGCTGTGCTGTCGTCCTGGTCCATCTGCAATGTTGGCTCCACACATGACAGCATTAGATGAGCTCCTGGGAGCCTGCCCTATGCAGGTGCAGGGACAAGCTGTGCCCCACAGGAAAGCTGTGTCCAGCCTGTGGGCTGTCTGGGGCTGGTAGCTGCTGGCCAGAGCTGTCTCCTGGTGATGCTAATTCATCCCGTGTTGGCCAACAGGTGAGGCCAGTGATGGAAGTGCAGTGAACACCCATGGAGAAGGGGCTGTCCCAGCTCATGCTTCCTGGAGGGGGCTGGGACATCCTGTGGGAAAACTCGTTTGTCTGCTCCTTGCTCCTGGCTGTGCCGTGTTGCACAGGGCTGCTCCGTGCCACTGCCAGAGCAGCAGCAGGCAGACGCCGCCCCACAGAAGCAGGGTGCAGCTCAGTCTCAGGTTCCTTGGGGGAGGCAGGCTCCCCCTCCCCTCTTTCTTTAGGTAGAAGCACGAGGGCTGTGCTGCAAGTGCCCAAGGGATCTGCCTGTCTGCCAGTGACTGCCAAGGGAGCAAGGAGCAGCAAACGCCCCCAGCCTGACCAGGCTGTCACCAAGGCCCCGGAGCTGCCTCCAGCCCAGCCCCCTGAGGGGCTATGACACAGTGAGTGAGCCCCTGAACCAGAGCCCTGTCCTAGGGAACCACCTTTGTGCACACCAGGGGCAGGAGAGGTAAAGGTTTTTCAGGACAGCACTGGACAGCGAGATGCTGGTGGGACCCAGGGAGACCTCGCTCAGTGCGCCTTCTCAAACTGAAGAAGGCATGGTGGTGGGAAGGGGGGGACACTCCCTGGCCCCTACAGCATCACCTGCTCCCTGGCTGTGGCTGCCGGAGCCACTCACCTGGGACCTGTCCTGCAGCAGGTGTTTCCCTTGGAGACAACAGGTACTGACTCCCAGCCCCCAGACTCTCCCCAAGGAAAGCATCTGTGCCCTAGCTGCACGGGGCACCAGCAGGGCACTTGGGCTGCTCAGCCCAGCCAGTGCCCCGCGTGCCACCCTGCAGCCAGGCTGGGAAGAACAGGCTCATAAAAGAGAACTAAAGGAATTGGCCCCATTCCCCCTTGCTGCAAGTGCCCTGGGGATGCAGGAAGCCCCTGGTTAGGAGCTGGCAGCGCAGCCCCCTGACCCCTTTGCAGGATTCCAGCCGGTCCCTGCACACCCTGCCCAGGCTGTTCATACATCAGCTGCTCACGCAGGGCTTGCCCTGGGACCTCCATGCCCTGCCCAGGGCTGAGGGTTCATACTCTGCTTGGCGTGAGGCTGCCAAGCCTCCTCATGCTGGGTGCTATGTGGAGGGGTTGGTTCTCAGAGCCAGGAGTTTAGGCTTGCCAGTGAGGTGATTCGAGCTGGCTCCTCTGGGCCTGGCCCAGCCCTTAAAAGGGTCAAGCAGGAAAATTTCCACTGCTCCCCCCACACTGCTGGCTTCAGCGACTAGACTGCCCGAGCCGCCCTCCTTGGCTCAGTCTCCAGCTGCTCTGTGGCAGTGACGGGGATCCCTGGACGCAGCTGAATGCAACCGTCTCCCCTGCAGCACTGACCTGAGCAGAATCCTGGCCACAGCCAGGGTGCCCAGGCCCCGCGGGGCGCTCAGCATAGAGTTGTGCTGCCGGAGCTGTGTGCCTCCTGGTAACAGCGAGCCTGCTCTCACCCAGATAAATGCACCCGGAGGAAGAGGAGTGCCGCCCTGACCAGCAGCCATGGAGAGCACCCACAGCACTCCGCGTGGCACCTCCATCATGCCCAAGTGGGATCCGTTTCCTCAGCACACGCTGGAAGCCGTAGACATTGTTGTCCTCGTCCTGTACTTCCTCTTTGTCCTGGCTGTCGGGCTGTGGGTAAGGCAGTACCCTCTGCAGGTCTCCCAGTTGCGCTAGCATAGTCCATCTGTGCCTGGCTCACATCAGGTCTCCAGCCTGGCTTCGGCCAGCCTGGATAGGAACGGCTGCAGCCCCAGCCACGGCATCCCACAGGCTGCGCTGGAGAGGTCTGTGCACAGGGGACTCCAGGGTTGTGAGTCTGGTCCCAACCTGATCAGTGTTACCTGGGATGCAGCGGATGTCAGAAGACACGTTGCTCTGTACCATCTTTGGCTCATGCTCATGGATCTGGAGTGAGCCTGTTGGCAACAGGGCACTGGGCTTGCAGGGTGCTAGGGCCACGTGCATGGGGGTCTGACATTCTTGCCTTGTCTTTCCTCCCCAGTCCATGTGGAAGACCCAGAGGAACACGGTGAAGGGCTACTTCCTGGCTGGTGGGGACATGGTGTGGTGGCCCGTAAGTGTTGCCTGGGTGGTGCCTGCATCCTGTGGGATCCCTCTGCTGAGAGGATGCCAGTGTATTGCAGACACGAGGACTGGAGTGTGCTGCTTGCTTCCCCGGTGCTCAGCTCCCTGGCCAGGCTCAGTGCTTTCCTCCAGTTTTGAGCTGGAATTTGCAAAGCCTAGGGTGGATGCGTCTCTGGGAGGCAACACCCAGCTGGTGCCCTGGCATCCTGGGCTGCTCCACCCATTCCCACAGGGCCCCTTTGCTTGTCTGAGGGGCTCCCAGTGTGGAGGCAAGGACTGTGATGCCCTGGTGGCAGGCAGGAGGAAACTCCCAGTCTGGTTCTGTTCCTGTGAAAGATGGAAGCAGAAAATGCCCTGCTGACGGGCGTTCTGACCCTGCTGAATCAGAAGCAGGGAGCTCTGGAGCAAACCTTGGGATGAGCGACAGGCCCTGAGGGAAGGAAGGATGCTGGGCAGAGGTGCCCAGAGAGTAAAGCAGGCAGGGAAAAGGGGAGGAAAGGCAGCAAGGGATGGCAGGATTTCACTGCTTTGGGCTCCAGAAAGGTGAAGCCCGGGCCCTGGAGCTGGCGTGACTGCATGAGTGGTTTGGATGAGGCTTACCCAAGGGTCACCCCTAGGTCTGAGGCGTATTCCCCTTGAAAGACACGGTACTGACTCCCTCTTCCCCTGCAGGTGGGCGCCTCCCTGTTTGCCAGCAATGTGGGCAGTGGGCATTTCATTGGCCTGGCAGGATCTGGGGCAGCCTCGGGTATCGCTGCTACAGCCTACGAGTGGAACGTGAGTGTGTCCATGGCTCTCGGGAGTGTCGGGCCCCGTCTAGCTCCTGCCAGGTGGCACCACTGAGTCACTCTCCACCCCTCTGCTGGAGGATGCTCTGCTTGTGCTGTCTCAGGATGAGGCATGAAGAAGCTGGGAGGTGTGGGTCCATCGGGCTGCGCTCTGAGTTAGGGTCCTGCCCGGCTGTACTGTGCTTCCATAGCAGCTCAGATCAATACACTCCTGCTGCGCAGGCTGTGGTGGGGGCAGTGCTGTCTTGTCACTGTGCTGGATCCAACAGTTCCTCTCCTGGTCTGGAGTTCAGTCCCCAACTCCAGATGCCCAGAGCCCTCCAGGATGAGCTGGAGAACTGTGGCCAGGTGCTGGCTCCACAGAGCCTCTGTGACAGCTGGGCAGAGGCCCAGACACATGCTCACATGTGGAGGCATGTGTGTGCGGGAGCCATCTGATCCCAGCACTGCCAGCCCCTGACCTGCATCTCCCCTTCCTTCGCAGGGCATGTTCTGTGTCTTGGTGCTGGCCTGGCTATTCCTTCCGATTTACATAGCAGCAGGGGTGAGTATACAGCTGGACTGGGTGCAGCAGTTGCCTTTGCAACCCTCTTGTTTAGTGCACAGGTTCAGTTAGGAAGGCCGGTGCTTCAGGCAAAGCTCCTGCAGAAGCTGTGTCCCCTTCACTCACTCATGGGTCTGCTCTGCTCACTCAGTGACAGTCAGCAGGTCATATCCAGGGGCTCTCCCCAGGGATGGGAGTCAGGAAACTCCTTGCAGGAAGTTGGGACTGCCCAGGTAAGAGGGGGGATGAGGAAGGGGCAGCCTAGCTCTTGCCTGGATCCCTGGATGCTATGTTTCCCTGCCAAAATTAAGTGCTCCCCTTTGGGAACAGACACCTGAGCTCAAGGGAAGTGGCACATCCCTGACACAGAAATGGGAGGAGGAATTGCAGGGTCCTCGAGACAGACACAGCCAAGCCACTGGCACAAATGGCTTTACCGGTACAGGTGATTGCCTGGGTAGCAAAGCCAGAGCTCTGGGGCTCAGCACTCCTGGCCCCAGGGGGCTCGTAGAGCCCAGAGGAAGCAGAGGATAGAGCAGGCAGAGCTCTCACAGCACTGGAGGGGAAGCGGGCACTGCTATTGCCATCTGCAAGTGGCTGCATTGGCCCATGTGCCAGACCCAAGTGGCAAGACACTGGTGCTGTTCAGTGTCCAAGAGACCATGATACTGAGGCACATGCAGCCCAATGCCAACAGAGCCACCAGCTGGGACCCTCTGCCCAGCCTCTGCCACTCAGAGAGAGCTGCTGCATGGCCCCTCCTCTGGCAGGCTCTCCGTCCATGCAGGTCACCACCATGCCCGAGTACTTGAGGCGCCGCTTCGGAGGCAAAAGGATCCAGATCTTCCTGGCGGTTCTCTACTTGTTCATCTACATCTTCACCAAGATCTCTGTAAGTGAGGGTAGGGGAAGGCAACTGAGGCAAATGCTCTTGGGAGGTGGCTGTTGGCACTGAGAAATACAGGTGGGGTTTGGCCCTGGACACATCCTGCAAGGAGGGCTGCGAAAGCACCCGAGGGGGCACAGGAGGGAGCAGCAGGATGTGCTGCAGGAGCAGGGGAGCATGGTGAGAATGGATCACACTGCCCTCGTTCCTGTGAATGTCTGATGTTCAATCCCTGCACCAGGGTAACTGCCCAGGTCCTGGCATGTTCAGACGCGACCCCGGTGTCAGCAGGATGGATGGGAAAGTGTGAGCCAGGAGCCTGCTGTCTCCTCTAGTGATTTACTGCTCTCAGGACTTTCAATAAATAATTTAATCAATCCTTGTGCAACACCTTGCTGGCTACTAATTAACTACCCCATGGAGGTGGGGTTGGGCCAAATGAGAAAACTCCTGGCAGGTGTTTGTCCTCTGAGTCCAGGGCCCAGCTGTGCCTGGCTGCATCTTGAAGCTGGATGGGGGGCAGGTGGAAGAGGTAGCAGGGGGAGGAGGTGGGGCTGCACAGGAGAGTGATGTGCCCTAGGGAAAGCTGCTCTGAAAATTGATGGAAAACAGGCAGCCAGAAGGGAGTAAAAAGGCAGGCAGCTTGGCACCCACTACACATCCTGCACTCAGACAGCCCTGCTGGGCTCACCTGTGATGACACTCACTCTCTCTGCCATTAGGTGGACATGTATGCGGGGGCCCTGTTCATCCAGCAGGCGCTGCACTGGGACCTCTACGTGGCAGTCACGGGTCTGCTGGCCATCACAGCAGTGTACACGGTAGCAGGTGTGTCTCCACACCGCAGACCCCAGACAGGACATAGCACTGCACCACAGCCCCGCTCTTTGCCCAGGTGCACAGGATGCCCTGCACTGGCACTGCACTTGCTTGGCTCCCTGCATGTCCCACTGTTGATCATGCCACAGCTAATGAAAGGTGCTTGCCCTTTCCAGCAGCCAAACCAGGCAAAGCCCCGAAAGAGGATACAGCATGTGAGCATGTGCCAGTATCATCCCTTGGTGCCCTCATGGGCTGCCCAAGGCTGCCTCTGTTTCAGTTCAGCCCATGAGCAATTTCAGGCAAATGTCCCCAGGAAGCTGGTCTCGGTCCTCCCACTACAGTCAGAACAAGCCACATCTTTGGGGTACATCAGGCCAAGCCTGGGGGCTGGAGAGCCTGACAGCCCCCTTTGGCAGTGCAGGAGCCATCACTGCTCAAAACAGCCCCATCCCCCATGACTCATCTCTTCTGCTCTCCCATCAGGTGGCCTGGCAGCTGTAATCTACACGGACACCCTGCAGACCTTTATCATGCTGATCGGGGCGCTAACGCTCATGGGTTTCAGTGAGTATGCGCCGCGGAGCTGGGGGGGGGCCTTCACCTGACAACGCCCGGGTTCCCAGCCTGAGCCTGGGCAAACAGAGCAGAGCAACCCGCTTCATTGGTCCTGATATTCCCAGGAGAACAGCTGGGCTTGCCATTCAAACCGTGATCATTCCCAATGGGGGAAAAATGCATAGGTGCTCCATGAAAATATTAAAAGGAAAGCCATGGTCTGCACCTGAAAATACCATACCAATACCATACCAGAGCCATCCAAACCTCTCGATCAGTAACAAATGACATATAAACTGTGATCGCCACTCTGGGTCCAATTCCACCAACATACCTGAGGGGGCAGGTAGTCATGGTAGGCTGTAGTCAGGCTGAAGGCAGGGCAGGGTTGCACCATAAAGACTAGCTTGTTCTGAAAGGCATAAGCTTTCGTGGGCAATGCAGTGTCTGCTTCCTGTGCCCTCTTTTAGGCTTTGCTAAGGTTGGTGGGATTGAAGCTCTGCAAGCCAAATACTTCAGTGCCATTGCCAGCAGTCACAAGGCAAACAGCAGCTGTGGCTTGCCGCGAGACGATGCCTTCCACATTTTCCGAGACCCTGTCACCTCTGACCTCCCTTGGCCAGGCGTTCTGGTTGGAATGACCATCCCGTCCCTTTGGTACTGGTGTACAGATCAGGTAGGTCACGGCTTGTTGGATAAAATAACCTTTAGATGTGCTGTGAGGCCAGCCAAGATTCAGAACAGCCCCAGGCTTGTGACAGAGCCCAGGTTGATTGGGAATCTGGTGGCTTCAAACCCAAGTCTGGAGTCACTGACCCCCCTGGCAGTGTGTAGCCAACTGCTTTAGGACCGTAAGAACACAGGAGTGAAATGTGCACGACAAGAACCCACAGCAGAAGGGGATGGCATGAACCCACATGCCCTCACATCCTTCTCTCTGCTTAATGATACTAATGGCCTGATTGCTCATTATCTCCTGCCACTGACAGCCAGATTATCTTGGGCTCCCAGAGCCAAGGGGCAGCCGGACACAGAAACCCACATCCCACCCACCATGTTACTCTTTCCACTTGCCACCAGACACTGAACCAAACTGTCCTCCTGATTCACAGGTCATTGTCCAAAGGTCCCTGGCTGCTAAGAACCTCTCTCATGCCAAAGGAGGCTCACTGATGACTTCCTACCTGAAGATCTTGCCCCTCTTCATGATGGTGATGCCAGGCATGATCAGCCGGATCCTCTTCCCAGGTAAGAGCTGAGGGAGATGTGTCCAGGTCTGTCATCATGGACTGTAGTTGCTGCGCAGCACCCAGGGGACAGGCCCTGCAGAACAAACAAAAAGGCTGTGATGGCTCAAGTACCAGGAGCAGAAGGGTGCTGTTCACCCCAGAGATTTCCTTTCAGGTCACAGACCTGGTCTTACCCTGATGGATTCAAATAAGGCAAGCTTAGAGTGGATGGCAGTAACTATTTTTTCCTTCTAGTGGATTTGTTAGTCTGCTCCTCACTTGCTCTTGGGAACCAGACCCTTTCCTTACCAAGGCATGTCTCAAGCCACCGGGGCTCCCAGTACTAACTCAGCTCCTGATGCTGCTTTCTTTGGGCCTGGAGCCCAGGTCTGCAGCACTGAGCAAAGGGACAGCCTTGAGCCACTAGCCCCCTAATGGTGCCCAGGGCCTGGCCACACACAGGCCTGCCCTTGTCAGCACGTGCCATTCACTTCAGGCAAGACAGCGGTCATAGGGAAGGAGACAGGGCATGAGGCAAGCTGGCTGTCCAGCACATTTTGAATGAGGGCTGTTTACATCACTGGGAGCTGAGGAAGGGAAATGCTCAGTGGTCCACATGCTCCTCTGCCTAGAAGGGCAGGCCCACACCATCCTCTGCTTATCAGTTGGCAGGACTCATTCCTCACAGCTCCTGATTGCTGCCCCCTCCCCAATCTCTCACAGATCTGGTGGCTTGTGCGGACCCAGAGGTCTGCAAGCAAATCTGTGGCAACCCGTCCGGCTGCTCTGACATTGCCTACCCCAAGCTGGTCATCGAGCTCCTGCCCCTAGGTAAGAAGCTTGCTCATGAGGACAGGTGCAAAGCTAGGCCTACGGCACCAGTGTCATGGCAAGGGGAGTGGGTCACCGAGAGGCTGATCAGGGGCTGTCAGGGACTCTCCAGCACTTGTGATTTCTAAGCCAAGAGGAGATGTTATAAAGGAGGTCATGGTACAAACAGGAGTTGTCCCCAGTGGCTCCTGCATCTGGTATTGTACAGATACTTTGACCTGATGGTCCCAGGAGCCCTTGCCAGCCCTGTCCATTATCCTCCTGTTGGGGAGCCTGGTTCCAGCACATGGAAAGTCTATGTATGCTGCTGGGCACGGCTGGTTCCCTAGAGGGCGAGGGCCATGGCTGTGACCATCACCATAGCATCTGGGTGTCTGGAGCCCTCCAGGGAGCACAATCACTGTCCACACAGGAGTAGGCAGATGGGGCCTGTCCCCTACTTGTAGCTCATGTGCCTCTCAGCCACCCAGCAGGCAGGACAGAGGGAAGCCTATGGCCCCCCCCCACGAGGGGACTAGGGCAGCCATAAGGGTACAGGGGGATAAGCTTTTTGGGCTGGGGGGCCGGTGGCTGTCGGGGGGATGGGAGGCTGCTGCCTGCAGCACAAATGGTCAAGTTCAGGAGTGTGCAGCAGGTGGCTGTCAGAGGGGCCTGTCCCCTGAGAGGGAAGCTGGGCTCAGGCTGCTTTCCACGGGCAGCAATGAGACAGGTGCCCCTACCTTGGTCTGCAGGGCTCCGAGGCCTGATGATGTCAGTGATGATCGCGGCCCTCATGTCCTCCCTGACATCCATTTTCAACAGTGCCAGCACCATCTTCACCATTGACCTGTGGCGCCACATCCGGCCCCGCTCCTCAGAGTGGGAGCTCATGGTTGTTGGCAGGTAGGGCCCAGTGCAGCCCAGCAGGCTGTGGGGTAGGCAAGTGGGGCTGGGGCCTGGAGAGGCTCCCATGGCTCCTGTCTGTCCTGGTGGGACTTAGGAACAAAGGGGAGCAGACCCAGGCCCTTCTGGCTCAGGGCACGTTCCGCTGAACAGCCACAGTCACGAGCTCCTTCCAAGGGTCTTGGGCAGGAATCTGGCCCCATCTGCTGATGGCAGAGCTGAGGCGCGGTGAGGTCACAGCAGTGGCACAGACCACATAAAAGTAGCATCTGTGAGAGGCTGGACTTGGCTGAGAAAGGGGCGGGACTGAGCCAGATAGACCATGGACCAGATGACCAAGAGCTGAGTCCTGAAGAGCACCATCGTGCTAAGATGGGGCGATGGGGGTAGAGGGGGAATTGCTCAAGCAGTGGCTGAAGGAGAAGGGGCAGTGACTGGCTTTCCTGGGCAGGGTGTTTGTGCTGCTGCTCGTCGTGGTCTCCATCCTGTGGATCCCACTGGTGCAAGCCAGCCAGGGGGGGCAGCTCTTCATCTACATCCAGTCCATCAGCTCCTACCTGCAGCCCCCAGTGGCCATGGTTTTCATCCTGGGCTGCTTCTGGAAGAGGACAAATGAGAAGGTATTACCCCAGTGCCCCACAGTGTGTGCTGGGAGCTCAGCTTAGCCTCCCTCAGAGTAGCCAGAGGGGCAGGGGCTTGGTGCACCCACAGCACAGCACCTGCAGTATGACAGTGCCTGGGGAAGGCCTTACCCCGATGGGAGGTGCCAGGAAGTGCACCCACCCCACGCCACTGCCCTGCTCCTCCTGGGCATCCAATGAGATGGCAGCACGAGGGGACAGAGCCTCTGCCTGGTTCCTCTCCATCAGTAGGACACTGGCTGGGGTAGGGCAGATGTGCGCGCACAACACCAGCATGAGGAGGAAGACATAGTGGTTGGGCCAACCAGGCTCCCTTCCCTTCCCACCTGGACAGAGCAGCTAGGAAGGTGCTGGGCCTGGGTGCTGTGCACAGACAGCATGCCAATGTGCGCTTCCTATTCCCATGATCTTTGCTCCCCAGGGTGCGTTCTGGGGCCTAGTGGTGGGGCTGCTGCTGGGCCTCGTTCGGATGGTGCTGGACTTCATCTACCCCCAGCCGCAGTGCAGCCAGCCAGATACCAGACCCGCTGTGGTGAAATACGTGCACTACCTCTACTTCTCCATGATCCTTGCTGCCATCACTACCATCACGGCCATGGTCGTGAGCCTGCTGACAGACCCCCCTTCAGAGGAAATGGTGCGTCACCCCCCGTAGGTTCCTTTTGCTCCTCTCTCACAGAGGTGTGGGAATGTCCCAGGCCACACGCGTTTCAGCAATGTGGGACGGGAGTCTTCATGCATCCTTTGCATGTGGAAACACCATGATACCACAACAGGGCCGTGGTCCGGACAGCCTCCCTGTCCTGTGAAGTCACAGCCCCAACATGTCTCACTTCCTCCGTGACGGATCTGCCACTTCCCCCAAATAGTTTTTGGCATCAGGTGTCTCCTTGATGAGCTCCTGGCTGGTTTCTCACAGAACCCCTTGGCTAGATCCCTTCATAGGGAAGCACACACAACCCGTCCTGCTCGATACGGGTCAAATCTCACCAGGCAAACAGAGGCACCTGCCCCCACCAGGGACTGACCCTGCATCACGGTGCCATAGCCCAGATAATGCAAAAGGAAGAGCCCTGCAGGCACAGGTTGCAGGCCTGGGGGAACAGGCCACCTGCCACACGAGGTTATCCCATGGGAGCAGAGCTTTGGCACTAATAATTGTCCCTGCGGTTACTAATGTTAGCAGCTCTGAGAGTGCGGCTTGGGTGTCAGACCAGAACTCAGCCCTGAGACTTCCTAAATGGTGCTGCCCCTCCAAGCTGATGCATCCCCTTAAAACCACTTTCTATAACACCCCTCTTCCTGCCACCAGATCAGTCGTCTTACCTGGTCCACCCGCTGGGATCCACCACCCACGAAAGCTGCAGCTGGTGGCTCTTTTCCTGATGCTGTAAGTGGAGGAGGCAAAGCTGAGCGTCCGGCCGTCCCGATGGATTTCAGTGTTGCTTCTGAAAGCATTCCCAACGACAACACAAGTGAGTGCCCCATTGCTCCCCACAGCAGCCACTGCAGTTAAACCCAACCCCAGGCACTTCAGAAAGGCAGGAAGCATTAAATGACTCCTGCGGTATCTTTCAGATTGCTTGCCTCCAGGATACTAAAAGCCTTTTACCTGCTAAGACTGTAGATCAGGGGTTTACGTTTCACCTACACCTCTTGATAGCGTGGCACATGCTTGCTATCAAACAGGGAGCTGGACAGGGACAGGGCACTGAAAATGGTGTGCACTGCTGTGTTAGGGGTTGAAGTGCCCATGGGATGGGAGAGCTGAAAACTGGGAGCAAAACTGCAAGCATTTCCCTGAATGCCCA